AATTGGTGCGCAGATTGCAGCGACCAAAGCTACGATCAAAACGAACTTCATTTTGATTGTGACTGCTTCATTACTTTCAATCGCTTTTTATACCATTTCTTACAATTATCTTATTTGCTCAAGAAGACAATACTAGTATTGTTTCACTAATCTTTTTAAATTATTCTCGATGACAATCACTTATTAATTGTATTCTCTTCAAACTTTTTACACCAAAAAAGTACACACACGTTTTTAGTATTCAAATTTTTATTTTCTATTACATAAAGTAAACTGAAAAATCAATCCAAGTAAGCCAAATCAATGTTTATGCGTTGTCATAAAAGAAACGTTACTGTTTTGATCTACCGCCATTTATTTTCTGTTGAGGTTAGGTAAATTTTCATTGATCAATTGTGCAAAATAAACCTTCCAATTTAATTTCAAAATACTTTTAGTACAAAAATCCATCTTGTAGTAAGAAAAAAAATGAATATCAAACTTTTTTCGCAAAAAAAAAACAGAAAATTTGGATTATTAACATTTGTGATATTTCCAAATTACCAATAGAAACAGCTAAAAATCAATATAAAATATAATTTATTACAAAAATCCACCTTGTAACAAGAAAAATAAATAATAATCAAACTTTTTTCTGCAAAAAAAAACAAGAAAATTTGGATTATTAACATTTGTGATATTTCCACAATTACCAATAGAAACAGCTAATAAATATAATTTATTACAAAAATCCGCCTTGTAACAAGAAAAAAAAATGATAATTAAACTTTTTCTGCCAATAAACGACAAGAAAAGTTTAGATTGTTAAAATTAGTGATGTGTTTTCACAATTACTAATAGAAATAACTAAAAATCAATATTCAATTATTTGTTAATTAAAGTTACGTTTATTGAACATTTTGCAGATATTTGCTCATGATTTGCTTTTGAAATTTCTTCAATACTAAGTATCAAAGAAATTTGTGTTTTGTGAAGAATGTATGGTCTATTTTTAGTATGTATACATGAAGAATACACAAAGAATATTCGAAGAAAAAAGTAAAAAAAGGACCTTAAATTAGTGAACTTTTAAAAGTTAAATTATTTTTTGTTGTATTGTCTATGTGCAAATTTTTGATTTATGAAACTTGGACAAATATAAGTTTTTTGCAATAACTAAAGTTAAAATCTAATTTTCTTTGAAGATCGACTTCAGATAATGATTTTATTAAATACTCTGATCAAATATTGGAATGATTTTGCGAAGAATCCAAATATTATCTTCATGTTAATAATTGAAAAAAAATTACCGATTTTTTTTCAATAATCATTAAGATTGATGTGAAATTTAAAATAAAAATGCGAATAGGTTCGTTCATAATTTGTTTGTTTATCATAATAATATTGTTAATAAAGTTACAGATTTATTGTTGGAAGTAAGGTTTGTAGTAGCATTCGCTCAGAGGCAAACGGCTGAGTTCGGATCTGATCAGTTGTTGGGCAATGAACGTCGGTTCTTCGTATATCAATAAATCCGATCCGCAGACCGTTGGAATCTCGGGTAGAGGTGGTGTACGTATATAACTTGAATATGGAGGTGGTCGATAATCTTCATCATCTACTCTAGGACCTACAGGTGGTGGTATAGGTCTGCACTTTTGTATCGGCCACTCGCCAAGTTGAGGTCTGACCGATTGTTGCGCTCGGAACGTTGGCACATCGTAATATCTACTATCAGTTCCGCATATCTTCCTAGTGACCTCCCTGGTGGAGCATGGATAACCACCGTTTCTCTTCCTCAGACTCGGATTCCTTTTAACGGCAATGTCGAAGAAGCATTTGTTATTGTAGGTGATTCCATCCGAGCCGCAGAAAGCAGAGCTTTTGTCTTCTGCATCGCACACGATTTCATCCCAATCAGAGTACTCACACGTTCCGTGAAACTTAATTGTTAACGTACTGTCCTCTTCAACCAAAGCATGATTGAAAAGACATTCGTTATCATAAGTCTTTCCGTTTGAGGCGCAAATCGGTTGGTAAATTGCCGGACAAATTGGACTGGATTGAATTGGGGCGCAGATTGCAGCGACCAAAGCTACGATCAAAACGAACATCATTTTGATTGTGACCGTTTCACAATTTCAACCATCATTTTATACTGATTCTTCCTTCTAAAATTAACTCACATCATCGTATTTACTCAAGAAGACAATACGGGTATTGTTGCACTAATCTTTTGAATTGTTCTCTATAACAATCACTTTTACGTAACAAAAGAATCAAATTTTTATTTTTTATTAAAAAATATATGTAACTGTCGCAATTATAACAATAATTTTGTGCGTTGTCATAAAAGAAACGTTACTACTTTGATCAACCGCCATTTATTTTCTGTTGAGGTTATGTGACTTTTCATTGATCAAATGTATAAAGTAAAACTTAAAATTTCATCTCAAAATACTTTTAGTATAAAAATCCATCTTATAGCAAGAAAAAAAATGAAAATCAAACTTTGTTCTGTAATTACTAATAGAAACAACTAAAAATCAATATTCAAGTTTTTTTCATGAAAAACTGATCAAATTTTATTGATCAAATGTATAAAGTAAAACTTAAAATTTCATCTCAAAATACTTGTAGTATAAAAATCCATCTTGTAGCAAGAAAAAAAAAATGAAAATCAAACTTTGTTCTGTAATTACCAATAGAAACAACTAAAAATCAATATTCAAGTTTTTTTCATGAAAAACTGATCAAATTTGATTGATCAAATGTTTAAAGTAAAACTTAAAATTTCATCTCAAAATACTTTTAGTATAAAAATCCATCTTGCAGCAAGAAAAAAAATGAAAATCAAACTTTGTTCTGTAATTACCAATAGAAACAACTAAAAATCAATATTCAAGTTTTTTTCATGAAAAACTGATCAAATTTCATTGATCACATGTGTATAAAGTAAAACTTAAAATTTCATCTCAAAATACTTTTAGTATAAAAATACATCTTGTAGCAAGAAAAAAAAAATGAAAATCAAACTTTGTTCTGTAATTACCAACAGAAACAACTAAAAATCAATATTCAAGTTTTTTTCATGAAAAACTGATCAAATTTCATTGATCACATGTGTATAAAGTAAAACTTAAAATTTCATCTCAAAATACTTTTAGTATAAAAATCCATCTTGTAGCAAGAAAAATAAATGAAAATCAAACTTTGTTCTGTAATTACCAATAGAAACAACTAAAAATCAATATTCAAGTTTTTTTTTTCATGAAAAACTGATCAAATTTCATTGATCAAATGTATAAAGTAAAACTTAAAATTTCATCTCGAAA